ACAGCACGCACCGTGCACACAGCACTGCCTCCCTTCCAAGCCGAGCACTGATGGCTTTCAGCAGCGGCTCTGGCACGTGCTCACAGCAACCAGCAGCCACCACCAAAGGCACACAAAGAAGACTCTCCAGTAGCAACACCTCTACCTGCCCCGAGTCCCGCATGCTGGGCACATCCCAGCAACACCCTGCTGCACTAACACAGCCGCGGAGCCGTCCCACGGCTAAAGGTGCAGCGATGGGAAACGCAGAACATCGCACGCGGGGTGTTACCGAACCCCACGGCACGCACGCAATAGGAACAAACCCTCGTCTGCACCTCCCCAGCATCGGGCGCTTTCTTACCTGAGTGTCAAACGCGCTTTCCACCGAGCTGCCCTTCCTCGGCGGCGGTCCATCCCCGGCGCTCTCCTGCCCGCTGGGGGACTTGAGGGGGATCTGGCTGGAGTAGGACGGCTTCGTCACCTCCACCCTGCTGCCGAATTTCAGGTAGCAGGGCTGCGGGATGGCCCTGGCCGCCGGGACGTGCAGGATGGGCGCGGCGCTGTGCACGGGTTTGGGCAGTCCCGACTTCATCTTGGAGGCCACCAGGATGGCTGGCATCTTCTCCTCCTGCTTCCCTGGCGCCTTTCCGTCAGCGGCAGCACGGCAGGCGGCGGGCGGGGAGAGAGAGAAGGACGAGCTGGGAAAGCCGCCGGGCGAAAGCAGCGGGGCTTATCGCACGGACGGCCGAAGGAAGCGGTCAGCCTACGGCACCTTCCGGCTCTCGGCCAGCCTTCCACCTGCTGCTCCTCTCCCTTGCTTCTGCTGTCTGCTCGCTCCTTTCCTCCGCGGAATCCTCTCCTGTAAGCAGGGACTTTCACTCCATCATCCCAGCGCACCGCCCAGCCCGCGCCGCTCGGGGACCTGCTGCCGCCCGCAAGGGATTGCCAGCTTAAGACGTCTTCAGCCTTAGCCAAGAAGCAGATGTAGCTCAGCGTGCTCAGCACCGATGCCCTCGGACGCGAGCCTCGGGGAATCAAGCTCCTTAAGTCCTAATGCTGCGGGCAGGACGGCGATGCCAGAGCAGGAGGAGGAACGGCTGGCGACCGAGATCAAAACGCAAACCCCCCTCCCCCGGATCCCCTCGGCGCAAGAAAACCCAGCTGTCAGAGAGCGGGGAGGGAGCGCGGCCGCCCCCCCATCGCAGCGCCCGCCCCGAGAGGCGCGGAGCCGCCGTGCACCGTGCGCGCCGCCGAGCGCCGTGCCCGCCCCGCGGGGAGCCGAGCCGAGCCGAGCCGGGCCGGGCCACGCCGCCCCATTGGCTCCCGCGCTGCGGCCGGAGCGAAGGAGGGGCGTCCGCCTCCCGGGCCCGGCCCCCAGCCGGCCCCCAGCCGGCCCCCAGCCAGCCGCTGCCGGCGTTTTTTTTCAAAAAAAAAAAAGCGCTTTCAAACAAAAACACCTGAGGGTGACTCATGGTTCGGGTTTTACTCAGGAAAACTCCCGCTGCCGGGGTCAACAGGAACTGGAACAGGCGCTGAGTAATCCGGCCTCGTTACAGCGGGACTCCCCAGCGCCGCACAGACGCGGGACGGGATCGGGGCGCACACCGCGCCGGGCAGCGCCCTTCCTTCCCAGGCGCGCTCCTCAGCGCTCGGACACCTGACGTGCTGGAAGCTTTCCATGCACAACATCACGTTTTTGAAGCCCAGCCTAACCCAGATCAAAGCCTGTGCTGTTTCAGGGCTGTAGGTGTCTCCAGGATTAGGCAGCAGGATTAGGATTTAGAAACCTGAGCATTGAACCTTCCTGGGATGTCATCTCAAATGATTCCGCCCGGGTTAAGAGGGGAGGACTGGAAATTTAAGTCGAAATGCATGTTTTACTCATTTGATAGGACGTGTGGTAATGGCCTTCAGTTGCACCAGAGGTGCAGGTTGGATATCAGGAACAATTTCTTCTCAGAAAGAGCAGTGAGGCAGTGAGACAGGCTGCTCAGGGAGTGCTGGGTCACCATCCTTGGAGATGCTCCAGAGCCGTGGGGATGTGGCACTGAGGGACGTGGGCAGTGGGCATGGAGGGGTGAGCTGGGAATTGGACCTGGGGATCTTAGAGGTCTCTTCCAACCTTCATGATTCTATAATTCTAATTAGGTGTTAAGGCACTTCCATACTTGATTAGGTTCAGGCTGCCATTCCCAGATGCACAAGAACTTGCCAGATTTTGTTCAGGATTGGCTATTACCACAACAGATATAGAGTTAATTTGAGCAAAATAAAATGATTCCTTTCACTGCTACTTGAGTAACCATCAAATCTGATGACGGTGGATTGAATATTCCACAGGCAGAGGAAACTGCCTTCTGTGTTTCTTGGTTTGCAGTCCTGCCACCACAGCGAAGGATGCTGGCTAAATTTGGCAAGATCAATTTGATCCATCTTTGGAAGTGACTAATGATCATTATTTTTCTCCCAATAATTCTTTTACCCACTTTTAAGGCTAGGAATTTTAAAAGAGAATACTTTTCTCCTGACATTCAATGACATCTGGAAGCCTATCTTCTTTCTCCTTGAAAAGCCCAGCTAGCTTTCCCTTCCCCTATTCCACCTCTATTTCAGTATGTCAACTTTAAAATGATTAAAGTAGTATTAAAAAGCAGGCAAAATACAAGAGCTTCACTCTTTCCTGCTGGAAATGTCAGATGAACCATTAACTAGGGGAACATTCCCTCGCAGCTGTAAATTGATGAAAACTTTTGCCTGAATAATCACAACAGTGCCCATTATCTGCCCGAGGTCCAGCAAGCATCCACGCGCTCCCTCACTGGGGGGATGTGGAAGGAGAAGCATGCTGTAAAATATGTAGATGATTATTACAATTAGAGCATGTTCTTAACCGGTTTGGTGATTCTGAACCACTGATGGAATGACACTCACTCCATCCTTGGAAATACCTTTACCAGTGCTTCCTTTGTCTTTTGGGCATTCAGATGTATCTGAAATCTTCACGTTAATCATTTTCATTCCACACAAATATTCCCAAAACATCACCATATACTGTGACTATCAGAGAACTTAATTACTCTTACAGAAGCATTTTGTTGAACAAGGCCTGCCGGAAGGCCAGCTGTCCTATAGACTGTAGGCATATCCAGCCTTGGCACAGCTCCATTAACTTAAGTGAAGTTACGACAGGAATAAATATGGGCCTATTTTTGTTGCTGCAGGCATTCTGCACATTCAAATCCACCCGTTGACACTGCTCAGATATATAAAAGCCTAAGCTGGCCTGCAGAGGTATGTCACCATTTCACAAAAGAACTGTAAAGGTGTAAATGTCATCAAGCTGTGAGGTTTTTTCGGTTTATTCCCAAAAGAGGAACTCCAGAGGTTAGAAAAAAGGAATGTTGGTAGAGGCGTTATATAATTTGGCATCCTCTCACCACACAGCAATTATAACCCATACATGTGAGTTCTTTATATAGAGCAAAGAGAAAAGGAAGAAACCTTGGTTCTGTTCCCAGCCCTTTCCACAAAAATCTTGTCTGTATTACACTAATTCTCATCTAAACCCCCATTAATAATTCCCTGACATGTTTCTAATTCACACTGGGTTTAATTCCACCTTATTTTTGTAACAGTGCTATGCTTTAACATGACAAGGTAAGTTCTATCTGCACAAGAAACAGCAATGACACATTTCTGAAGACACATAGTAAGTTTCTCTAGTAACACTGCAATGCAGGCAGGAACTTCCACACAGTGATGCAAAATGGAACATTTTAAATGAGTATCTTCTGTAAAACATTCATAGAGTTTGGAGAAGACTACTAGGATCCCCAAGTCCAACCCCAGCCCACCCTACCATGCCCACTGCCCACGTCCCTTAGTGCAACATCTCCACGGCTCTGGAACATCCCCAGGGATGGCAACCCCATCACCTCCCTGGGCAGCCTGTGCCACTGTATCACTGCTCTTTCTGAGAACAATATCCAACCTGAACCTCTCCTGGCACAACTTGAGGCCATCATCTTGCATCCTATCATTACTGCCTGGGAAAAGACGCCCACCTCACCACAACCTGCTGTCAGGCAGTTTCTCCCCCGAGCCTCCTCTGCTCCAGACATAACCATCCCAGTTCCCCCAGCCGCTCCCCATCAGACGTGTGTTCCTGACCCCTTACAGCCCCACTGCCCTTCTCTAGACACACTCCAGGGGCTCTGTGTCTTTCTGGTAGAGAGAGGCCCAGCACTGAGCACAGCACTCAAGGTATGGCCTCACTGAGCTGAGTGTAGAGGGACAATCACTTCCCTGCTCCTGCTGCCTATGCTATTTCAGTACTATTTCTGAACAAGAACATTTCACATTTTTGTAACTGAAGCATGTACTGTAGGAACTGGCAGCACAGCTGCACTGTAATCATTTGCCCATTTGCCCACGTCATTCCAGACTGGTACTTTTTTTTGTTCCATGATGCATTCATTGAACTGTGTGACTAGCATTTTACATAAATTTAACTCTGGCAGTGCTCTACTCAAAAGCCACATACATTTGTACTGACTTCATCCTGGACATCATTTTCCTTAAGCTGCTTTTGGATCTGTAGCCATGTCAGTTTCTCAGAATCTGGAAAAATGTGGCTGAGCTGGCTGGAGGTAAACATCCTCACAAAGGTGCTGTGATCGGCTTTGCAAAGGCTCATTCAAACTTAAACAGCAGAAACAGAAGCGGAAGGGATGTGGACAGCAAGAGCTCATTTCACCTGATGCTTTCTACAATGCTCTATGTCTTCAATGCTGCAGCAGTGATCGCTGTGGAATATATATATGCAGGAATAAATTCTGTTATCCCAATAGACTACCTTTGGCATACCGACTTCCAGCTTACCTTGATTTACTATCTCCTAATGTCTGTCATCACAAGAATAAACATAAACTTTCCATACTACCTAGAACAAATATTTCAATACTGTTTGAAATGGATTCTTGCAAATCGCATCTTTCCAACAGGGAAGTGCATCTGGGTATTCTTAGTCATCTTTCCTTTGTTTCCTGAAGGTTATTAGTACTAATATTCATATATTATTTTATGCCTGATTTGACATTGTCCAACGCTTCATGTATTTGGAAAAGCTAAGACAACATCTTTGGCTGTTTTGTGAAGACTAGATAACCACTGCTGAAAGAAAACATTGTGTCACATTCTCACCTCTAAATCAATACGGTTTCACTACAGCCAACGTCAGAAGTTGATTTCCAGATTATAGGTATTTATCCATCTTATTTAAACCGCTGATCCAGCCCTGTCCTATATTCACATTTTCTTCCTTCCCATCAGTGCACATTCCCAGTGAACTTGCATTAAAATAGCCCTCTGATTTCCTGAACCCACGCACGCTGTTCAGCAGATGAGGCGCAATGCAGTTCTGGAACCACAGAAGCTCTGCTCGCAGTGCTCACCAACTGCCAGCTAGATCTCAAAGAAACACAAATAGCAGCCCACGCTTGCAGGCTTTGCCAAGTATGCTTTGCAACCAAATCCAATGCCCTGGCCTTCCCAGTCCGCAGGCATCCACTCTTCCCCAGAAGCCCAAAATGAGCATTCCCACAGGGCAGCCACTCAGGAGCATTTCACTGCTGGAGGTCACTTGCAATGCGGTGTCAGATTGATTAATTGCAACATTACAAGCACCATCTTTTCCTATATTAGCAAAACGTGTATAAAAACGTGGGTTGTTCTTAGTGACATACAAGTAAGCGCCGAAAGGACTTAACACAGTGCACTAATATGAATGCTGCCAGCCTCCAGAGCTCCTTTAAAGAAAGATTTGTCCTGTTTTAATGCTTAGACAAAATAGAAGCACATCCTCAGAAGGTAAAAATTAGGGGTACACTAATGGCCCTACTGCAAAGTAACTTCATGCATGCTAAACCCAAGTTCCTCTTCTCAAATGTTCTGATGTGTTCTTTGTTCTCCCATCAGCAAACTAATAACTGACACTCCTACTCATTTACTAGAGATTTTTCAAGCTTTTAAAACATCAGTCACCCAAATATCACAACACAAATCAGTGAACGTTGTCCTATTATTTTGGTTTCATAACAAATAAAGGAGATCACGCTTAATGTTGTATCTCAATATTTAGTTTAACTTTTTTTAAGTGCAGCATATTATTCTATCTTAAGGTTTCCTGTCACCCAAATTTTATCTGATTTTTTTTTAAATTGAACTTGTTAAAAGCTACAGTACTAAGATCTGATCGCATTGCATTTACCTTACATGTCCTATCATATGATTTTCAATAATGCACCTCTTGGTGCATGGAATATTTTCCAAGAGTGTCAGCGATGAAACACCACACAGCCCTCTATGCTTTATTACTTCCAAAGAAGATCTGGCTGAAGCTTCTCTCTGGGAAACAAACAACAAAGAGAAGATGCAGTGATGAGATCCAATTTTTCTGCATTTCATTATTTCCTCTTGCCATTTTAGAAGTAAGATTATTTTAATACAAAGAGGAAGATAAAAAAATCCCTGGCAACTGAAATCATTGCACTCTAAAAGCAGTAGAAGCCAAGAGCTCCTGCCACAACAGCAGTGTATTACCAGCTATTGGCAAATGAGTTGGTTTGTCACAGGCTGAGTTCTTACCAGATGCTCTGGTCACTCGCACCCTGGCTGAGATGTGAAACAATGACATTGCAGATGCTGAAGGAGATGCTGTTGAATTTCAGAACACATCCATCTGTTAAAGTTCCTAAAATGTCTTAAAGGAGTTGGATACAATAAGCCCATCTGCTACCTCAGCAGGTTAAAAATTCAGCTGGAAAATAACTGGCAAAATGCAAACCTTTTCTGATAGTGATCCACAATGAAGCTTCAATACACATCTAACTTCTGTTTCACCTTCATTCACACCTCCAGATTCTGCAGATTTGGCATCCTGAAGAATCAATGCAAGTCCCGACCTCAGCCATGAGCTGTTTCTCCTTATCTCACTGTTACAGTCTGTTCAAAATGTAACCGAGCATCCATCGTTTCGACCTTGTCATCCTCAGAAGAGCATATATCACATCTGCTCTCAAATAGAACTAACGGGGAGCCACACCATTTCTCTCTCTTTGTACCAAGTCCATCTGCTAACAGAAGGACTTCAGACAAATATCCACATGGTAGCAAGAAGATAACTGCATCTCTAAGTAAACCAACACTGACTTGAACAACAGAACCAGGCTTTGGATGGCAGAGCCCAACCAGAGGGAAAGGGCCAACGGGCATCAGCTGTACAAGTGCAAGTTGGGTCTAAAGAGGAACTGAGCCAGTGGGAGGGCAATCAGGCACGGGTACAGGCTGCCCAGAGAGGTTGTGCACTTTCTGACCTTGGATGTTTCACAAAGCAACTGGATAAAGTCTTGAGTAATGTGGTCTGAGCTCAAGACTGACTCTGCTTTGAACAAAAAATTGGATTGGAGACCTCCTGATGGCCCTTCTAAACTGAAATAGCCTGTAGTTCTTAAATAAAATAAAGAATAGAATAAAACCACCTGGATCCATTGGAAAAGGCTCAGTGGAAATCAGCTCTAAACAGTGAGCAGGTCCACTACAACAGCATGCATAGACAGAAGGTCCAGCTGAAGCTACCAGCAGACAGAATTTTAGGAAGGAAACCACAGCACATGCTTAAGTGTGATTTGTCATTCCCTTCTTTTCCCATATCTCTTACAAAGATAAATGTGTTATCACTTTGAACACGGTGAACAGATGCCTATATTTGCAATTTACATTAACCTGTACTGCAAGAAGAGTGATTTCAAGACAAAATGCAAACTACAACACATTTTTTCACCCTAGGGTATAACGTATGTGTAAACCGCAGCTCCAAGATGTCCCAGGAAGTTCCTTTGCTACTCGCTGCATTCTCAATAACATCCTTAAGGCTTTCAGATTTCACCTGCAGAGACCAGGTAGACAGCTGACAAAACAAAAGATAGAAAACAGAAGTATCTTCCATAAATCAATGGCTACCAGAAAGGCTGGCAAGAAAGCAGCAGAGTGCAATTAATAGCAGTTAGCCGTTCCTGTCTTTTTCCAGTTACAGGCTCAGGATAAAATGGTATATTAAATTACCTCATGCAATTCTGGACCGCCTAATGTTAGAAAAGCAATTTGAGCATGTGTTGCTACTGCTAATGATCAGAATTAAAAACCAAAATAGCAATGCTCCCTTTTAGAAATGAGATGATTTCCTGTCTCAACCATTGACTTTCCCATTGCTTTGACAGAAATTCTCTGTTTCTTCAGTGGATCCCTGGGCTGAAACATTAAATGTGTATTTGTCATCATACTGCAAACCTTCCCAAACATTCTAGGGTGCCATTTTGGGGCTTTCAGCATAAATCAATCTACTTATCCTTGGCTAATATCTCTTTTCCCTTTCCTCACAGATGCAAAGTAACTACGTTTCTATTTAGTCTTTTCATTTTCCATCAGCTGCATCCACTTCCAACATCACCAGCAACTCTGCACCATGCTCTTAGGGAAAAAAAACTCTTCTGGACAGTATCACTGCTAGCAAAACAGTAAGATTACAACTGTGTATGCATATGCATGCGTGCACACACAGATGTACTGTGAGATGAATAAAAATGTGGTGATGTCTAATTTGGCCTAGGAAAACCATCACAGCATTTCTACACAAACAGGAAAAGGTTCAACCCTATTTGCAACACAGCATCACAAAGTCCATCCCGATTTCTCTTACAGTGTGCTGAATAGGCATTTCCAATTCCAAAGAGTAATTAGCATACTGTATAAAAATTAGAGCACTAGCAAATACCACAGCCTTAGCTTTGCATTAATAGAGATCAGTGAGGACTCAGCACTGTAAGCCCACCACCAGCATGCGCTGCCCCGACACGCTGGGTGTTCCAGGAGGCAGCGCTGCACCCACACTGCTCACCCAAAGCACCAAACTTCACCAAGGGAGGCACAGCGAGCAGGCAGACAGCTCTCCGGATCTCCAACGATGTAATCGCAGAGCTCTTGGCGATGCGGATGCCAGGTGAGCAAGCTGCTCTTTGCCAAGAGCACTGGGGCAGGTAGGACACAAGCTGCCCACTGCTCATCCGCTTGGACTTTGCAGTTAGAACAGGGCAAGGTGGATCTAGCCAGCCCAGGGAAGAGCAAAGCACACTGTGTTGGAGGAGAACTGAGACACTGCAAGTCAGAAGCATGGGATCGGCTCCCAGCTCTGCACAGAGTTTCACTGCGAGCACAGGCGAGCTGGCTGACAGCTTGGCAAACGCCTTGGATCAGACTTCCCAAAATAGAAACAACACAATTAGTTGCTGCTTTGGAAACACAGCTCTTCATTTTATGAATTGCAAAGCCAGATAATAATATCTTCACGCTGCCCAAGGAAACACAATGGCTATCTTCACAGGAGGCCCTTGGGTACAAAGATGTTACCAAAGGATTCAGCTAAACACGGAATTCACTTCCACTGAGCACTTACAGTTGGTCTACACTTGTGTAACACGTACCTAAACACAGGCTCCTCTTCTAGAGGGATGTGGAGAGGACTTCAGCAATAGGATGTGGGCAAGTCCAAAGGACGAGAGACCCTGGGACAAAGGCAGTAGCCATTCTGCTAGAGAACAGAGACTATTAAATCTGGCATCTTTTACCAGTCTCACCTTGAATTAAGAAACAACCTGCAGAACGCGACAGGAAGGGTACACCTAACACCAATTCCCTGGGTTCTCTGGCATATCTAGGGACCTGTACGGAGTGAAACAGAACAGTCAGGATTATTTCCAGAGCTCTATAAATCACAGTCAGGAGAGCAGGCTACAGTGGAGGCAGGAAGCCAATGTTTCACAAATAGAAAAGCAAACCGTTAGGAAAAAAAGTGCTGTGATGTTTATATGAGCTAATGAAGAGCAGAAATAAGCAAACAATGTACAATAAATAAATAATACATATATGTGAAGCAATAGAAAATTATGGTTTTCTATTTTAGTGTGATTATCTGTTTTGATTCCATGTTTAGAGCACTACTAAGGCCCAAACGAATCAGAATGGAGTTATGGAGATAATGCCATTGAGGGAAGGAGAAAATAAAGGAAGGTGCTGTTTCATCACTGCTTTTACTCCCAGTATTTCCATTCCCAGCCTCATAAACTACATAGAGTGGTAGAGTGAGAGAACTTCAATGCTATTTGAAACTTTGAAAACTTAGTTCTGCTCCCCTGATCCCAAAACACACGATGTTTATCCTCTTTCCTCTTACGGTTTGCCTCTAGAAGGATAACACAAAGGGCAGCAACTTCAAACGTGTGTCTATACACACACAAACCTTTCTGCATGGCAGAGCTGTGCTAGGAGCACATAATTATGGCAAATGAAAGGCATCTCAGAATACAACAATGTGGAGGCAAATTCAATTGCTAAGGACATTGGCTGAAAACAGCCCTCAAAAACAAAGAGCCAGATGCATTAGGACAATTTTTCACACTTGCACAAGTGATTGAGTCGTGGGCAGGCTAACGCCTGGGAGCACAAAGAGAGATTACAAGTCAAAACTGGAAACTGCCACGAAGATCCTTGCTTGCCATTCCTCCCACTCGGAGTTTGAGCACGGCACCAAACCTTCTTATTAGTATATAATCAAGATCATTAGAGCTCTTGAATTCAACCTGATTGTGTACCCAGCAAAGCCTGGCAAGGCAGCAATAACAATCCCTCTAAAGCAGTCAGAGTATTGCTTTGTAAGATGCCGACATGAGATGGTCCCTTTGTGCCAAGGGGCCTGCAAGAGGGCTCACTTGAGGGAAAATGTTATCTTACACACTATAAATACATGGAAATAAGATTAGAGGCAACTGTTGTGGCAGCAATTAGCTTACCCTATCAATACACTCCCACACACAGTGCCTAGAGTTTTAGCTCACTAGTGACTCAGAAGCAAGAATGACATTGCCAAACCTCCTACTTCTATGCATTTCCTTTGTGCTTTTGTTATTCACGTGCTGCCCTCATTCTCACCTGACCTCACTTTTGCTGTTAGAACCAAACATCTGTCCAGTATTCGTGAACTGATGCAGAACCGAGTAGCTTATTCACTGTCCTACTTCAACTGTGTGGCATCAGACCCAATGTTAATCAGTGGCAACTTGAACAAAAAGGTTAGCTATTTGAAGCATCTCCTCCGAAAATGAATCATATTCACTTGCCTAAGCCAACTCCTTCCCTGTTACACACTGAGAATCATAAACATTAAGTTAATTATCTGCATTCATTACTTCCAGTAAGAAGTCGCTGAGTGGCAGAGAAATGGCCATTTTTTATGAGACATCGGGTTTGGATATTTGATGCTATTATTTCTGAGCTAATCCAGTGTTTGTTTTATTGATATGATGTACACCTGCCTTAGCCATGACAAAATCCCAAACTGGTGCCAACTACAAAGCAGCAGCTACAGCATGCAGAGAATCTACTTACAAAGTCTACTTACTTGTTTAAGAGTAATACAATGCCAGCATGCTAGCTTACCTCACAGTCAAAATTCAGCTGGGCACTTTCAAGATCCAAGGGTCATAGAATCATAGAATCATTAAGCCTGGAAAAAAACTCTAAGATCATTGAGTCCAACCCCAACCCAGCCTCACCATGCCCTGACTATGTCCCTCAGTGCCATGTCTCCATGGTTCTGGAACAACTCCAAGGACAGTGACTCTCCCACCTCCCTCGTTTGACTGTTCTTCTCAGAGAAGAAACGGGGTGACAAGTGGGGTAACAGAAGCCTTACAGTCTTTGTACCCACAGTGAAAGTGTTGCCTTCTGCTGATACTCCTACACTGGGGGGATGGATAGAGGTGCAGCTGCTGCTACAGTTGAGCAGCCCAAGGTCACAGTGAAAGGGAAGGAGACATCACAGCCATGGTTAGATTGCAGTTCTGTGTCACAGACACGTGTTGAGAGGGGACTGGAAGTCAGTACCATTCCTGGGCACGTCCCTGACACCCCACAATACACTCCCACACACACTCCCACTGCCAGATGGACTCCAAAGGTCTCTTCCAACAGAAATTAATTTAGAATTTTATTAAGAACACCACAGAATCCCAGTCTTTGTTTTCTAGAGAGGAGTATAAGTCCCTGTCTTCCTGTACAAGTCAAAGGAAAAAAGGAGGAAAAGAAAGCATTCACCCCCTAAAATAATGATAATTAAATATTCCTGTTCCTACAGAAGTCACCTAAGCATTCAAACTACTGCCCATGAGTTTGTTCTGCTGACAGCTCCGAGTTTACACCTGCTGCTTTTCCTCACTCTGAGTTTGGCAAGCCAGAAGAACAGAAATGGAAATCATCTGTGACCAGACAAGCAGCTGAAATTAACAGGAACGAGGGAAGCTACAGCACAACGAAAGGCAGAGGCAATGTCGTGGGCAGACTAGGAGCAAACATTTCCAGCTCATCAGGCAAGAAGCTCTTGTGTTGGGATTTGTACTGTGTTGTTGCTTGTAATTTTGGAGAATGCACTGTGACTCCAAATGATTTATTCAGAGGAAGACAAAAGGCAGCTCCATGATGAGCTCCATTAAGCTTGAGAACATATCATCCGTGGCATTTCCTTTGTGGACATCAACTTTAGGGTGTACCACCATACCTACCCTGCAAATCTAGCAGGGGAAGAAAGACAATGACCTGCAGCAAAGCATTCTGTCAATTTCTGGCCTTGCTGGAAAGACAATATCAGGCAAAATGATGAATCAGGCAAGCTGACACATGTCACAGGCAGGGAGCAGGGCCTAGCAAGCCCCTGGGTAACCCCTCACAGCAAAATGCTGGAGCAACTCAGTAAACTCCCAGCAACACGGACGTTACACAGTCATTTCTGAATCCCAACGTGGAAAGATTAGGGCTTTTTTACTTACCTGCTTCCCTTTAATAACCAATCTATAATGCTTCTAAGTCTTTATCATTTTCACATCCAGGCCATTAACAAGAAAACATGAAGAACAAACTGCATATCTGTCCCAGCTCATGACGCTGACTCACAAGCAGGGCTGACACACTGGAAAGACTGACCAAGGCTCCGGGACCATCCCTGACGCACTGCTTGCAATGCCCTCAACACAGGCCCCGAGCTCGCAGCTAACAGCGAGCCCCTTCCACGCATGCCGTACTGGCGCTGCTCAGAACCAATCCCTGCTGTAAGCCATAGCAGTTTGGCAGCTGCCTCCCCTCCTGCCGCCCATGCAGGCTGAGTGAGCCATGCCAGCAGCCACGACCCTCTGCTGCTTGCAGCATAAGTCATCCCGTGAGTCACAACCCATCGGTCCATCCACAGATCTGCTGCTTTATGAGGCTGACAGGTCATTGCGACAAGTTACTGGAATAGCTGAATCACTGGTTTTCCAGAACACACTGCTGTCATTGTCCCAGATCTGAAACTGTCCTTCCCTCAGTGTGTCACCGTTTCAGTCTGCACCGAGCTGGCTACCTCTCAGAGTCCCAAGGCAGTGCTTACCAGTGGCTCTGTTAAATGCAATCATTAAACCACTCATCCAGGCTCTTGGGAAGGCAGCAGAGCCCAGCTACCAAAGGGAATGACGTGTAAGAGTTGTGATTCCAGGCCTGCCTCTAAAAACCACAACAATGCTCTATGTAAACTGTTAATTGAGATTCTCGCCTAGTGGTAGATTCATAACGAGAAATTTTGAGAGCTGGGAACACTGCTGTTTACCAGGAACTGCATTCTTAGGGACAGAAACCATCCTCCCAGTCCGTGTTCACATCTGAGCAGCTGTCCTATGGCAGCAGGTCTGATCCTCCCAATGCTCCAAACACTCCATCCCACCTCAGTCATCTCATGGTTCTGGCATTGTGGACTGAAAATCAAACAGATTCTGAATGACAAGCCTCTGATTCACATCTGAGACTGACATCTAGCTATAACATCAGGTAAGTGCAGGATCAGCACGTAAGGTATCAAACAAGATGCGATGCTGTGGAGTACCAATTCCTTCCCTCAAAGAAAAAGATAGGGATCACAAATCAAAGGACAAGAAACATGCAGCACAACCTTTTTATTATTTGTTTAAAATATATGCTTTCTAACCAGAAATACCCTTATGATACTGAAATGACTGCAAATGGAGCAGCTGATAAACGGCACATGTGGATCTCCCACCAAATGTGCAGTTCAACCCCACAGTTCTCCAGCAGACCAC